GAATGAGCAAATGGCGTATAGACAAATCTTTGGTCACCGGCTACTATTGAAGTGCATCTCCTTGCGCTGCTCTACTGTCTTGTGGATTAGACCTTTAGATCAAAGGCTCCTGGTGTGGCCTCTTAAGATAACCACTTGCTTCGTTTTGGCATCCGGACTGTATCATAGCCCAAACACAAATCAAGTGACGTGTGTGGTGCATATGTACACGGTGCTCCTTTGTACTAATACTTATGTGTTAAAATAAATAAATGGATTATCTCAACCGTGTAGCGGTCAGTAATGAGTAGTTTAGCTAATGATACATAAAGCATCTATAGCAAAATATACTGAGTTGGATTTCGGATGTAATCACCAATACTAGAACGCTGTTTCATCTAGTAGCCGAGTCCCAAAAAAGATAAAACTCTCGTCGTTGATTCTATTACTAACTATAATCCATTTATTTAACATTTAATTTGATTTCTAAATTTTAACGGATTGAATAAATGACCATAGATTAACCCAAACAATTGATAGGTTTGATACTAGAATGTTTAGACCATAGACTAAAATTGTTTTGAAATAGCTTTATTTAACTTACTAATCATTTATCTGTTATTTTATTTTGAAAATAAAAGGTTCATTTGAGAGAATGCTTAGATTGTGAATGATTGAGATTTCAAGATATATACCCACTTACTGATAAGTAATACCAAGCTAGTTTGGAACTAAATGGATTTTGTAATTTGATATTGATCAGCATTCAGTAACCATACATTACGTATGTTAATTGAATTTGACAACTATTTCGTATATTATCCGCTTTATGTCATTACCTTGAGTATTCGTAGGCTGTTTTATATTATATGAATGTATTGTTTTTCTCCCGAATATATATGTCACTACATTTGTTCATGAAAAGGCATTGTACATTTGAAGTGAACTGACTAAACTTAGAATAGAACCATACAAATTTCAACTGAGTTTCGAATTATTATCATCCTAGATGCAAATTCTGAATGGATGGTATTCAATTTCTTATGAAATTGGATATGACCATTGAAAAGCAGTTTTTATTAGAGGATTAAATATTTTCAGTTTTCAGTGACTTGGCAACTAATGTCAGACTCTAACGATAATAGTATGATGGTTATCACAGTTCTTTGTAAATTATGTTTAGAAACAATACCAAAATGTAAATTCGCTTAGTGTTGTTGGCTTGTATTCTCCCATTGTTGTTTAGGACTGTAATTGATCAGTTTCATGTTGGCATATGTGGATCCTGTGCAGATTGCCTCGATATTGCCTTAAGTCACAAGCTTTTTAAGCAAAGATGGATAGTGGCTAGCAGTGGAATCCAGGACGTGCGTTTCGTCTTATCTGGGACTCGTTAGATGGATGTACCTGGACCTCAGAGTTGATGTTCACTCTGGGACTCGAATGCAGTACCGTTCTCTTCAAACGCTATCGCGTTATCTACTTAGCTACTGAGTCCTGTTAGCCACCTGATTGTGCAATGGGTTAAAGTTTAAATTCGCCAAAATGTATTACTGATTTTTATTGGATATTCAGAGAAGTTGTTAGTTTATTAAACGACTAATAAATATATACCAAGTTTGATGATAATATGCTATAGTTATTATGAATAATAAAGTGTCACTTCGTTACACTTCACAAAAATGTTTATTTTGAAAAGAGAAGAAAATGTGTTTTTCATTTCACAGTTCATTATGGAATGTAATAAACATATTTTCGGTGTGCGTTTATCAAATGTTTTAGTGATAAACAAATGAGTGTTTAGTTTGCTATTACAAAAATATTCTCTGGGGGACATTTTTAATAATAATAAAAAAAGAAAACTATATAAAAAGATGTTGTTTACTTCCAGATTGCTAATTAATTACCGGTTAGCTTCAATCGTGGATTGGTTAAAGTTAGACATTAACACCGTTGGATGCCGGCTCAGTGGTCTAGTTGGTTAAGCGCCTGGCGCGAGACTGATAGGTCCTGGGCTCGAATCTTGCGGGGGGCGGGATCGTGGATGCGCACTGCTGAGTAGTCCCATACTAGGGTGAAAAGGCCGTCCAGTGCTTCCAGGTTTTCCATGGTGGTCTAGCTTCAATTGAATCATGATTTCAACCAGTTAAGTTATCGTTAATTGGTAAAATTTAAGTCTTTCCTAAATGAAAGATACAACATAATAGTCATGTTGGTAGATACAAACTAATGTTGAGTCTTTATAAAATATTCAGCAATCAACACACTTTTTTCTGAGTATTTATAAACGATAACTAGTTTATTCTTATCATTACATTTGTAATATACAATTGTTCACTCATTTGAACTGTGTATAATTTGACGAAGTTCTGGCTACATCATAGGTGGTCGGTTTATGCCATGATATTTTCTTTTCTTATTTTTTTACAAAAAATAGCTGTATTAAACTTATATTTGTGGGTCCATTACAACTCTATGATTATAACATTAGAGATTTTATCAGATATGTCAGTGACGACACTACTGTAGTCTTAATAACGTAAGACAAACCCTCTAAACAGAAAGAAGTCTTTCAAACTTATATTTTCAACTAAAGTATAACTCTTTAACCATACTATTTTCACAGATTGAAATCATGAGTCATTTGAAGCTAGACTACCATGGAAAATCTGGAAGCACTGGACGGCCGTTTCGTCCTAGTATGGAACTCCTTAGCAGCGCTTACCCAAGATCCCGCACCCCGCAGGATTCGAACCCAGGGCCTCATGATTTCAACTATTGATAATTAGAAATGTCAAGCAGTTTATCTAAACTTATTTAAGACAACATGTTCCAATGGGTTTGAATAACGTTCCTTTTATTCATTTAGAAAGAAAAAAAAGATTTAAAAAAAAATTTTTGAAATGATGAAGAAGATCTGCAATTTCTCTCATTTAGACTGGTACATTTGGAGAACTCTCATTGTTCTTTTGTAGAGAATATTAACAGCATCGACTTCATTTAAAATTTTTATTGGAATAATAAATTTCGAATTATGTTTTATCATAAAATTAATCATATATTTATCTTCTTTATGATTCATATCACTAATAAGTCATATTATTCTATTAAGTCACTATATTTATCCATTAATAAAAGAACATTATTCGTTTGACCAGATAATATCAACATGAAGTATGTCTGGTTCTATATTATTTACATAAACAACTAACGAGCAGCATTAATCATTTGCTCAAGATAGACTATTTTTTATAGCAATATACCATCATGTGAAGAATTCCCAATTAATATTATCCATGATTTCATTGAGATTATAAAAAAGAATTCTCATATATATTCATTTTCGCATTAGTTGTCTGAATCTTTGCAACTGATCAGTGTGTTGTTGTGATATGTGCATCCTATGCGGATTGTCTCGATATTGCCTTAAGTCGCAAGCATTATAAGCAAAGATGGATGGTGGTTAGTAGTGGAATCTAGGATGCGTGTTTCGTCCTATTTTGGGATTTTTCAGCTAGATGCACTTACATCCCATCAATGGGAGGATTCATACAACCATCATAAAAATGAATTAAACTTCATCCACTGCTAGTCACAATCCATTTCAGCTTATAATATACGTTTTCTTTGATAAGTATACAATTTGACATAAAACAAAATTTATTTAGGTTAGATTATTTAACAACTGGTGTAGCTAATTGAGTTCTGATCTAAAAATGTTTTTCAAGTTCGTAAGTCTAAAATCTGATCTGAGTTACTAAAATCATCTGACTGTTTTTCGTTTTCATTAGTGTCACGAGTACAATTTGGAAAACTGAATTTGTTGATCAGTCTAAAAGCTGTCCGAAATAGATAGTTACACAACAGCGATTTAGTCTTCCGTTTTATGATTTCCGTGTCCAATTTAAATGTGTTCGAGACTTTTCCACGAATTTATTCTTCATATTTCATTAACTTTTTTTAATATTACTAATATAACCTACTAAAAACTTACAAAGATTATGATTGTAAATTAAGTGATCATTATTTATTGAGATATTCGAGACTAGTTATTTTGTTGGGACTGGAATGTCAAGTCCACATAGGTTATTCTAGCTTCTGGACAGATCAATCTATTCATTCTTCTCAAGCCATAATTTTACCCAGTCACTTATTCTCTTATCAACTTTGACTGTTTTTATGTAAGTGTACATGTGTGCATTTCTTACTTTACTCATCACATTTTTGTCTGGTTATATATATCAAGTCACGCATCTTTAAAACGAGCTGACTCACTAGCTTTCACCTCCGCGCGTAATTTGGTTTTGCTTCGATTTCGGATTAACGATTGTATGAAATATACGTATTCAGAAATCCATTTTCGGACTTGACTTATCTAATTCCGTTAAACGTCAACTGTGTTTAAGTCGATAATTGTATACGAGGCTTAGCGGCATATATATTTCAATAACAATCACTCATAATGTCCGAATGGAGTCAGAATAAGAGCCACATTTATTTGTACACAGATATGTTGCATAATCACCTGTATATTATTGTAACTACGAACGCTATATATGAAAATAAAAATCAGAAATACCTGTTTATGTGAAAAAATCTCATTATTAGATTACTTTACTTCTCAAAATGACCACGAAAAAGTACTGAATAAATATCTCGTTCTAATATGAGACTCCTTAGCACTGCCTATCCATGACCTTGATAGAAGTCGAATCAAAAACATACAAACTTAACATACAACCACCTAGTTTATACTAACAAGTCCACTACTATCAGTCACCTAAACTGGGAATATTTATTGCACACCTGGTAAAGATAATCATCATCGGTTACATCTCTCTAGAGATGAATTGCTAACATTTCAATAGGAAACTGTTAACAATTTTTTTTAGTGATTAATTGGTTTAAGTTGGTTCTTCAAGTCAATCATCATTTAATTACTAATTTTTCTTCTACATTACTGAAATAAGTAATTAATTTACTAATTGTTTCTCATTCATTATTATTTTTTTAAAAATTAGCTGATCATAAAATAACAAACATCACCATTTCACAAAATAATACAAGTGATAATACTAGAATCATATACAGACCGGCAACTAAAACTACAAAGACTTCAACACCATTATCAAGGAAACTGAATTCAGATAATGATGCTAATCATACCAATAGTTTCTTATCCTTATATACCAGATGCATTAAAAATTCAAATAAACGAAAGAAAAAACAGTTAAATGATAATAACAACAATAACAACGATCATAATCATCAATCAAATTTTTGTTTAAATTTTTGCCGACATTGTTCATCAAATACACCTTCTTCATCATCCTCATCGTCATCAACATCATCAACCGTTACAACTGGGGCAGGGGCAGCGGTAGCGGTTGTAGCAACGGCAGGACGTAAAGAATCAAATAGTTTTTCACTTCCATTTCCATTGGATAATAAAAATCATGACAGTTTAATTAGTTATGCATCAAAAAATACTATTAATCCTGGAATTAAAAATACACTTACTCCTAATCATACAAATAACACTGTAATGTCTGTATCGAATTGTTCAAATCAATTGAATAACATTTCAGTTCATTCTAACAAGAATGATGATAATAATCATCACAAAATTGATGCTCAAAACACATCTGTACATATAACTAATAGGCAAATAACTGATAAATTACATTGTAATACCACTAATTCTATAGATTATCAAAATAAATCGAACATCATCACTACTGTTATACCAACTATACCTATAATAACTAATATTGAGACAATAAATAATCATAAACATAATTCACCAATGATTATCAATGATCATTCAGTATATTTTAATGATCATTATAAACATTTATTAGAACTATCTAAACTTCCAATATATGATTCAACAAAACTTTGTATTCAATGTCAAAATAATATTCAATTAATTAGTAAAGATTATGAACATATACTACTTTTAACAAATAATCAGGGAAAACACGATCAGATCAATGTTATAAATAATACCATTAATAATATGATTAATAATAATGGTGTGAATGGGAATATTGAGCATACTACTGACAAGTCAAAAAAAATCAATGAGATGGAGTCAGACATAGAGGAATACGTTAAACAGTAAGTATTGATGTATTTGATTCTGTTTTTTGCTCTCTCAGAACTAATGTGAATAGTACATGATTTACAATCTCTATAGATTGTATTATTCTTAGATTGGTTTTAGTTAGTGTACCGTTGAAAATGAAGAAACACTGATAAATGAAGTTTATTAATTAATGCCAGTTTTCAAAAAATCCTTTCAACTAAACTATGTTGTTTACTGAATTGTTTCTGAGGTTTTAATGAGAAATTGTGTTTGTCGAAGCTCAAATATATCTTAGGTTGTTACCATTGAAATTGGCTAATCGCTGAGCTATATCGCGAAGTGATTGGAGTTGAAACTATACTACGAGACTGCAACATAGTGATCCTAACGGTTAGACTTGAATGTCTTGGGTTCAGCTCTTCTATGTATTTAGTAATACACCAAAAGTGATCGATTTGAGACTTACAAATCACACCAGTCTTCACAGAACCCCTTCAAGTAAACTATTTACAAGATCCACTATCAATCTTTGCTTATTTACAAAAGCATAATAAAATGATGATATATTTGTGATATCGTAGTGAACAGAATATTGAGTTTGTTGGATTTCGCATCCTAATCTAAGTCTCTGCTTCAGAGAATAGACAAAAATAGTTGAATTAAATTGACATAAGTTTAAATAATCTCAAGAAACGATGCAGAATATTTCGTTCAACTAAATCAGATAACGATTATGTCAATGTCATGTAGTTTTGGTTTAAGCAATTTCTTATGTGTCGGTGTACATACTTGTGAATCTGCCGAAAATCGTCAGTAATATTATTAGGGATTTCACGAATATATCATTATTTTGTTATTAACACTTTACCCAAAGCTCAATTTATTTGAAATTATCAAGTAAAACCTTAGTAAGGATACTTGTTTACAAGATCATTCAATATATTCAATAGTTTTGATATATTATAATGGAATTATTTGAAAAAATGGACCCATTTTCAGAAGTGAATTAAATGTTATCTTCATAGTTTCACTATCAAACATTTAAATTGTCACTAAATGTTATCGTTCAGTCATAGTTCCATTCTCGGTGTCATATTGTAGTGAACAAGAACACGGGTGGGGACAACCGAATATTGCGGAGCATCTTAATAAAATCTGAGAAACATATAGTAAATACTTAATTTGCAGAATATCAATCCATTGTTTTAAAGATGACTGTTCCTTTGCAAATATCAATCCATTGTCTCAGATTTCATTGTTCATGTCTTTTCGTTCCGTTTCCGTTCTTTCCTTATCGATCTTCTGCTGAAATACATTCTATGCTTGACCACCGTTATATACTACTTATATGGATATAAGTAACCCACACCACTATATAAGTTATATATTCAGTAAAAATAATCCCGTTTTGAATATTGCAATTTTTTGTACAAAATTATGAATAAATAATTTGTATAATTTATATGAAAATCTTCTTGATTTGAAAGAACATTGTAATATGTGGTTAAAACCGTAAATGATAGAATTCATAGATAGCAGCATCATCATCAAAGATGAATTTATGTTTTGCTTTATAAACATTACATCTTAGTATTATTTTACATTAGTTGTTCCTTGATCTTGTGAACAGTGGAGTTCCATCATGTCTGTTGTGAGGCCGTTACTCACTGAAAACAATGGTGGACGGTCACGCAATTTTGTGGATTGGGTGAAGTTAGACATTAACATCGTTGGATGCGAGCTCAATGATTTCGAGGCTAAGCGTTCACTTGCGAGACCGAAGGTCCTTGGTCCGAGTTCTGTATTTGGGATAGTGGACCTGCACTGGTAGAGAAGTCCCACATTAGGACGAAACAGCTATCCAATGCTTCCAGGTTTCTGATGATGGTCTAGGTTAAATTGACTGTTGAATTCAACTATCAAAGTTACTACAATGTCCACAAACCCCCATTTTGTTATTAGGATTTTATGTTCGTATGAAATAAAGTGCAGAAGTTTTTGCCTATGTACTTTGGTATCTGACCTTGTAGAGTGTATAACTGATCTGATTTTCATATCACCAGTATTCAGTAATGGATCAAGTAGGATTAGAGTTTATGATGGTGCCAATATTAAAATTATCTAATAATTTTCATTCATTACTTTTTCTAAGCGATTTTCGTTGTGTTTACTCATTAAAACCAAACGTTTTTACTATGCACCATATTAATAAATTCACCGTTGTTGTAGATCCTACATTAGTTATAACAGATTGGTAAACAAAATAATATTATATGGACAACTATTAAAGAGACTACAGAACAAACTAAATGATTGTCTAGTTCCACTTATGAACTATTCAACAGTGTAGACCTATCATCTTACAGTGGAACACACTCGGGAAACCAATATTTCACGACAGACATAATTTTTATGCATTCTATTGCTCTATATATTCGATATCTCTTAATATACAATCCATTATCAAATAGCATCAATGAACGGTAATGATTTAATCTAGATTGTTATATAAGTAAATCATCAGTCCCTAATATTCTTTGATTTAGTCTGTAATTCAAAGAAAAGAAAACACATGAATAAAATAATTGTGTTAGAAAGTGGGAAATTGATTTTTCAGGTATCTTTAAAAATATCTAGTGTGATAGTTCCAAATAAGAGCAATATGTACAAATAAACAGTATTGATCTTATTATTAGACTTTACAGGAATATTTATATGTATATATCTGAGAAACATTAAACTAGTCATGGTAACCTATGGGTCAATCATAGACTTCTCATATTTTCAAATCACAAAGTGATATCAGTTAGACTACCAATGAAACAGGTGATGAATTACACTATTGTTTTATCCTACCATGAAATTACTCACCAGTGCGGATCCATGATCTGACAACTGTGAATCAAACTATGAGCTTTCGATCAAGCACGCGAACGACTAATATAAGTTTAGAAACAATAACACTGATCGTAATCAAGTCAAACAAAGGAGGAGTGCTTGTTCAAATGAACATAGCAAATAACATCGATAAAATGAACGGATATTTGAATGAGTCGACAAAGTTTCAAAAGCTCAGTGGCATTACTGATATAAATATGAAAGCAGAGGGACGGCTGATCAATGAGTTTAAGGAGTTGGAAATTAAGGGAGGAATTACTTCAGCCATTCATGATTTACAGAAACCCAGCGGTCAAATACTCCACCATTTTATGTTTCTTGAATTCTAGTCCCCTTCGTCCAGTCTCAAATATGTATAATTCTCCATAACATAAAATTTTCAAGCTGTTAATTGAAATCCTGGATGATTTACACAAATTAATCGGTAATAGGAGTGTTAAAAATGTTTTGAGTTTCATTCCAAAGGCGGAACATTTGGACTTTTACTTCTTTATTCTCCATGGTATTATTAATTCAGACAACTGACTTTATGTTTCTACAACTACTTGACGACCAGATCAATATTGAAATTTCCGGAGTTAGTTTCAAAGGATTACTTTTGAAATTTACAATGAATGTTCATTTTGTGTCGAATAGATAAATTGATGGAATAGTGATTGGTTCAACGTTAGTCTTATTCTTGAAGAATGTTTTCTCGCAAAACTAGAAAATCAACAACTCAAATCTTCGTATTCATATGAAATTTATAAAATTCTAATCTTCTCCTTAGCCAAATTTACCTTGACAAACGATTTTATTTATTATTATCTACCATACTCTTTGTTCATCTATTTTTCCTAACTTCCCTTTTTCTAAATAGACGCTTCATTGACTATTAATTTGAAACACTTAAACGTAATTTTAATTATTTTTAATGGGTTTTATTTCAGCATTTATTTTGCCAAGTCTTTGACCTACATCCCATTATGAAACATTGATACAAGCCTGTATTGTTATTATTATTATTATCATCACAACTGCTACATCTGTCACTATACTATCAAGTTGTACTTTTAGTTTATTACGTTTATTTATGTAATCGAATTTAGTGTAATCACTGACTCAAACTGTCTTTATTGATTCAACATTTTCATGTATATCAGGATTTGGCCTAATAAGACTCTAGTTGAAAACAATATTGCCTGTTTTTATGTGTTTTCCTAATTTCAATAAACCTACGATACTGCATATTTAGTGTTTTTTTGACTTGGGATAAGTGAAAATAATCAAAACTAGTCCGTTCATATTAATACATTGCTAGAACCAATAATATTGATCTTTACTTGAAAATGTTATTGCATAACATTTCGGCATCAATATAAAGTTAATATCAAATTAAACGAAATAGTGTTGCTCAGACTTTCAAAGTCTAAAGTTGTATTTTTCTTAAATAATCATCTTGTTTTCTTAGATATCTATAATAACACGTGTAATTGTTTGTATTTCCCTGTTGTTGATATTACGAACGGGATTATATCAGTCTTCATAATGAACAGATTGCTTCGATATTGCCGTTACGTCGCCGGTTTTGAGTAAGGTTGGGAGTTTGAACTGGGTTGACGTCTGCTTATGAAAATCAACACTGGGATAAAGATACACTTATTTGACAAGTACCCAGATAAAAGAAAAAAATTCCTCCTGAAATCCACTGCTAGCCACTATCAAATATTACTTAAAAACTTGTGAATTATTGGCTGTATTGAGGTTGTCATCTTAAGATGCAAATAGGGCAATATAGACTGGTTGATTATAGTCCTTAGCATGAAAACCCATAGAACTTTGACCTTTCCAAATAAATGACGTAAGTTTGTTCAGAACTGATTCACTTTGAAAGGGTTTGGATTATCCCACTTTTTATATTTCGGCTGACATTTATTCAGTCGTGGTTGGCATATGGACGTCCTGTGAGGGGTTTCCTCGTTAAACCCACTATGACATAAGTTGATACAGAATAAATGGATTGTAGTTGGTAGCTGAATCTAGTACGCGCGTTTAGTCCCATTCGGTACTCGTCAGAAGAATGTATTTGCATCCCAGAGTTGACGTCCACTCTGGGACTCGAACCAAGCACCATTCATTCCAAATATCATCGCTT